ATGGTGTCTAATTTTCAAATATTATGGTGTTTATTAACTGGGTGGTATGTGCTACAGCCACATTATATAGTGTTTCATTTATCAGACATGTACCAAGCATATCAATGTTTCCTGTTGTTCTTTGTCTAAAATGAATTCAATATAATTACTGAATTACTTAACTATATTATTTACCTATATTATTATGTAACTATAGCTTTTTAAATTATAATTATAACCCAAATTCTTTAAAAGCAGAATTTAATGGAATAATCATCATATTAATACTTTTTTACAGATAGACCTCAGTACGGCATACTGCAGAATTTAGGAGTTTCCTGAATTGATATGTCACTTACTCCTGACAAACAATCACCTTTGTCTACATATAATTTATTTTTTCCAAACTAGAAATGTAATCACTTGATTTAACTCCATCCATCAAACAAAAAATTTTAATTCCTACTCAGCTTTAAGAACAAGTCAACAACTTGACCTACAAAGTGTCTTCCAAACCTAATACCCATGAGTTTACAAAGATATAGTGAAAGTATGGGGTGTTTCCTTCTTAAAAAACATTCCTAAGGAATCATTAATAGTGAGGCATATTTTTTTAAAAAAAGAAATTTTACTTTTAATAACAAGTCTATTTTCATAGATATTCATTTATCCATGTCTTAAACATAGGAAAATTCCCCAAAAGATATTCAAGTTTATACGTTTCCCTCTTATAGCCCATTTTCTCCTTGATTTTGTAGAGAAATTCTAATAATTCCATGTTGATATAGTTGTATAAAAAGGATACAACTGCAGTGTCAAAAATTCAGCATTATCTAGTTCTTCAGAAACAAGGAATGAGCAGAACACCATTGTGAAAATGTTTATTTACTACGCAGCCTTGATAAACTGGAAACTTTTCAAGGAATTCTAAGAGAATGAAGGAAGAAACATACTTTTAACATACTGAAACTTATAAGAAGAATTAAACTGCTTTTCTTGCTTTTATCAAAACAAGCCCTAATAAATATATTATTCAACCACAAAATCACACTTTTATTTAGAAAGATTTCCATATACTAACCCACTTGAAGACCTGGCTTTACATGTTTCTTCTACCCAGTTAATAATTAGGTTTTCTTGAGAAAATTGTATTTTTACTCTCCTTTTATGCTATATTTATTACTAAGATCTTTAAAAAGAGGAAATAAAGCAAACTCTCCTTGGATAAGCATTGAGCTGCACAGCCTCTTCTTTTTTTTTTTGTTTTTTATTTTTAAAGCAGTCTAATAATAACAATTTGACATATTTAGACATTTAGACACCATGAGTTTATTCATTGATATGTAATGACTTTTTGTTTCCAGAGCCAATACTTGAATTTGAATTGCTTTTACTGCTACACTAATATATTTAATCCCTGGGGGCAGTACAGGTAGCACTTACCTGTATCTCTTACAACATATGATACTATCATGTATCAGGGATATGGTGATCATCGTATTCCTTCAAACACAGGGAGAACTACCTGAGGAGAGTAGCCAGGTATGACTTACCCAGGTATCTTTTCCAGCACTTAGCCCCATAGTTTTTAAAGAGTAGGTACTTCCTAAATACTTATTGAATAAATGGAGCTCAAATGTTCACATGTATTAGTTACATGTCAATGCCTTCATAATTATATATTATAGATCAATTCCTTTGTCCTTAAGGTGAAATTTAATCTTCAAAAAGCATCTGATTGTGATTAATATTTTGGTTATGTTGCCTACTCAATCAGCAAATTCCTGGTAACTAAATTATCACAAATACTAGTTGCTCTATAAAACTGGCTAAGTATAGCAAAAAATAAGGCAATGGAAATAAAAGGGAGCAAATTTTTAAAGGAAAAAAGAACTGCTCATCTCATTACAAGGTAAGTTCAAGTGTAGATATTTTTTTGGACTTGTTCACTGCTGTATCCCCAACTTCTAGAAGTATCTGGCACATAGTAGGCCTTCAGTAAATATTTGGTGAATGAACAGACTGCTGACAAAACATATTATTATTGTATCTTTTTGTTTTTATAGCTCAAGATGTTAGAACAGGATCCATTTGTGGAGTGCAGAAGCTCCAATATAGGTACATACTGAAGTCTGATTCTGGCAAGGGTTCCAGGATTTGGGATTACCAACTGTAAAATAAGGGCAAATTTACATCCCAGACACTGACTGGCTGATCAAGCTTGGGCCTGGGATACATCAAGTGCAAATGAGCAAGAATTTAAAGTCATTATCCTGTATGTGCAGGCAGTACCAGTGCCAGCAATAACAAGTCCGCTTTTCTGGCAAATCCATCAAAATTAAATCCTAAACTTTTGAAAAAACTAATATGTTTATTATGCTCCTGCTAGCTTAGAGGCTTAACTATCCGGGGAGGGCCTATAATTACGATCAATTACTTATGACTCGAAGGCACTTATAAAAAGCATCTGCCCTTTTAAGAAACCATTAAAGGACCAGGCATAAGACTGTAAAACTGATCCTGGGGCAATAACAAATCACAGGTTTGGGGGACCAACTGACAACTCTCCCTTGGAAGGAAAAGAATTGTTACCTATCCTTGATTTCCTGACCCTTCCTGAACAAACATTAGCAACCTCTAAAATCTGGAATTCTTATTCTGGCCAAGCAAGTCATGGGGGCCAATGGTTGCCCCAAGGCAGAGGCAGAAGAGAAGAAATAGGAAGGAAACAAAAAGGGAACGGGGATCTGCAGCTCGTGAGGGTGATATCATCAATAATTTCCTCAAATGTCACTGAATTTCATGGCATATGACTGATAGTCCTTTCTGACAAACTACAGGCTAATTATACTCAAGTAGCTTCTTGGTTCCAGAGCCCATAATATCTGTGTTTGGGTATGATTTGTTCTATAAAAAAGGTCAGGTGAATTGATGCCTTCCTGGCAAGTTGCTTCAGGGCAAGAGTCTCACTGATCTGCTGGAATATAAATAATACTCACATATTTGAAGTACTTTTAAATTTACAAAGTGCTTTCACAGACACTATGTCACTTTATCCTCTCAACTCTTAAGAGACAGGTGCCATCATCATCACTTAACAAGTAAAAATAATTTTAGAAAACAATGCCTTTGTCTTCAATGCATAAGTGTATCCTCCTCAAGTTCACAGAACAGAATCCAAGTCATGGGTCAGTTAGAAATCTCTAAAGATAAACCAATCTCAAGAGCATAAATAAAAAGAACAGGATGGATCAGAGAAAATCTACCAGCACAATGGCAAAAAGTCTTCCTCTGTCACAAGAATGGATTGTGCTTTATAAATGACAGTGTTACATAGGGGTGCCTCTATAACACGTCTATGTTGGAAGAATATTTTTTTATTTATGTACATAATAATCACTCTTAACTGGATATTCCATAGGTAACGGAGAAAATAAAACAAGAGCATTGTAAAATTTTAATGCTGGAAATCAACCTTTGGGAAGCATTTAGGTGATTCCTCTAGGAAAATAACTAAGTTACAGGGGCTAAATGGACCCTCTTCTTTTCCCTCCAATATCACAAAGACACCCCCCGCACAAGGGATTTTGTTGTTTTTAACAAAGAAAACACACACACAAAAAGGTAATCTATTGCTTTTATATATAATCACATCTTCCCACTCATTCCCTCAGTCTCAGTATCTTTTGTCCTTCCCTCCTTCACTAGCTAAAGCAGAGGTATAATGGGGTCCTATCTTTATAGCCATTTACTACCTTATTTATGTATTTATGATTCTTTGCTGCCTTCTAGCCTGAGTCTGTGTTGGGAACAAAGCACCACACAAATCACCAGCCTGGGATAAGAGGAGACACGTTAAAACCTCCCAGGAAGATTCTGTAGACACTTGGTCTCCCTGAGTCTATAGAGGGTTTGGTATTTCAAAGGTCAGTCTTGGGTCTCTCCACTTTGATGACTAATGTTAAATTGTTTGACTTTTTACAAAAATATTTAGCTGTGCTTATTTACATAATTTCATCCACAGCGCACACAGTAGGCACGTATTTGTTGAACAGAAACCCTAAATGGATGAGAAGACAGAGAGATCTCCTTTCTCCAACACATTATCTTAAGAATTCAAAAAGGTAGAATCACAATATAATTTGTATAAGTTTCCAGGCATTCCTTTTCAACTTAAAGCTATGCATCTCTGTTTAGAAAAGAAAAGGATGACACAATCAATGTGAACCACATAATGGGGAAATTCCAGGATCACTAAGAAAACACCATTATCTCAAGTCACACATATTTCCATTTAACACTGGTTACCATACAGGAGAGAAGTGCTGTCTCCCTGCCCACTCACAAAATCGTCCGCGGTAAGCACGGGCAGAACAATTAGAATCTAACGATACCACATCTTGGCCTCACATCTAACCATTTGGAGAATGAGTCTAAGAACTATGCCAGCCCAGAGATACAGACACATAGGTAAGTTTTCAAAACGACGTCTGAAATTTGGGCATCAGCATTGAAACCCCTTAGACCATCAGAAATCATGCCTATTATGAAACTTTCACAAAGTGAAACTGTGAGTGTGCTTTTCTTATTCAGTTTTCTGCATTTTTTTAAACCTGAATTATACCAGGCTCCATCCGTAAAGTTCTTACTAATTACCACACCGCATCCTCATTCTCGGTCTCTCAAAAATTCCCCAAAAGCACGGCCAGTAAAAATATGCGGGGGCTAGCAGGGCGTGTCTCTTGTGTCTCTAAAGGGCACTCAATTGCCCGGACCCTCCTTCAGGGCAAGCAGAAGAAAACACTTAGACGCTGCACAGCGGCGAGGAAGCCTGCGCAAGTCAAGCTTTCTGCCTTGTCTTTCGCTCGCTGTCTGGCAAGGTCACCTGCGCTGGCTCTCTGCTCTGTCGCCAAAACTTACTCTAACTCTGCAAGGTCAACGGGTCGCGCCGGGCCTCCCTAGCCGTCCCGCTGCCCCGCACCTTCCCGGGCCCGAGGTTCCCTGGCCCAGCCCTCCGTGGGCGCAGCTCTCGACTCACCTGACCACGTTGGGGTGCTCGAAGGTCTCCAGGTGTCTCAGCACCGCCACCTCGCGGATGGTGGAGAGCGGCATGCCTTCCTCGCCCGTCTGCACCCGCACGCGCTTCAGCGCCACGAAACGGCCTCCGTTCTTCAAGTCGCGGGCCTTGAACACCTTCCCATAGGCGCCCTCCCCGATCTCCGCCACGCACTCGTACTGCTGGTCGGCGCGGCTCAGGCCGTCCTTCTCCATGCCGCCTGGACGCCGCCCGGCACGGCGCCGCTGGGGCGAGCGGGGGGTGCGCTCGATTTGGTCGCGGCCGCCGCTCGTCCCCTCCGGGGATCCCGGGAGCTCGGTCTCGCGCTCCTTCGTCCCCAGCCGGCTCAGGCGCTCGGGCGCTGGGGCTCTCGCGACCGCAGAGGCTGTATGGAGCGACCTCCCCGCGGGGCTGGCGCAACCCTGGTGCCGCCGCGAAACTCCGCCTGCGGAGTCGCCGCCACTGCCGCCGGAGGAGCGAGCCGATCCCTCCTCTTCCCTCCCCGAAGAGAAGTCTTCTGCACAGACACGGAGATGATTACATAGTCTCTGCCCGAGCGCGTCTCAGTCCACAAGCATCGCACCTAAAAGAGGAGACGAGAGGACAAGAAAGTGCAATCAGACATCCCAGAAGCCTTCCTTGGGGTTCCTCCAGACTCCCCTCCTCCTCCTTCACGAGGTCCCCATCGCTACCCTCCGCGCGCTCCTGTCCTCTCCCAAGCGGCTTAATCCTTCCTGATTCCTCCGAGAAAGCGAAGTTACTTTTCTTTCCTTGCAGGGCTGGAGCCGCCTTCGCGCGGAGAGGTTGCAGGGGCCCCTCGGGGATAAGCGCGCGGCGCGGGACGCAGTGGAACGGGAGGGGGCGTGCCGAGCAGCCCAGAGTGTGCCGGGAGCGCGGGGGAGGGGAGGCGCCGGGCACGTCAAAGTCACGGCTTAATATTTATCCCTATATCATTGTGTTGCGCTGCTACCCTCCTAGCTTCCCGAGGCCTGGACGTGCAGGGAGAGGGGGTCCAGAGGTACCGGGGGGCGTTCAGGGGTCGTGCACAAGCTGGTATAGGGGGACTGTGGGTCCACCCGTGTGGGGCCGCAGAATGTGGGTGGGGGCTCCCAGGACCCTGTAACCCGATGCTTGGAGTGTGCGAGAAGGGGTGGTCAGACATCTGCTCGGAAATTGCTTCCTTTCTTTCTACTTTCAGTTTTTCTACGAGGAGACATTTAAAAACTACTCGCACGCATAAATGGTCTTTTTGGGGTAAAGGAGTCTCGGTTGGAAAGGAATTCTCTCTCCGACTGGGAGGACCTCCCTGGTGGAAACCCAGAGAAGACAAGCCATCTGGTCGGGGAGGGCTGGGGCTACTCGGGGGTGGGCGAGCCAGAGGTTCGGGAGGGGGAGTCCCCCATAGGATCCCAAGGGTGGGAGAAAGAGGTGTTCGCCACACTTTCGCTTGTCGTCTCCTTCAAGGATAACTTCAGGAGTAAGATAGCATAACCACGACTCGCCCTGAAGTTTTGAACTGATTTCAACCTGAGCAAAACTCAACCTCCCTCTAAAAGGGTGGTGGGTGGTGGGGAGTAAATGCTGCGCCTCCGAGGGTGAGAGAGAAGGAGCTGTGCCTTCGGGGCCGGGACTCGGGAACCTCTCTCCACTCCCAGGACCCTCCCCGAAGTAGGTAGCTGAGGTGGCCGCACCAGTCCACCTTCTGCTTCAGGCCCAGTCCGGTCTGCACCCGGACGCCCCCGGTCCCCTCTGCACAACAAAGCGCCGAAGGGGGGGTACCCTAACTTTACCTCCCTATTCGGCGATCTAGGACCTAAGAAGCCTCCCTCCCCCACGGCCGCCGCGGCCTTGGCCGGACATTCGCCACGCCGGCCGCGTGTTCGAAATTCCCGGGGAGCCTCCAGAATTACCTGTCCCGCATCCGCTGGCCCGCTCGCCTTCTGCAGGAATTAAAGAAACAACAAACGGCGCGACCCCCACGGTGTGCGGGCGGAGCGGACCGCAGAGAGGGCAGAGCCTCTCGCTCTTAATCTATTCAGAACTTTCCTTAAAGCCGAGGGAAGAGCCCCCAGAGCCCGCCCGGGGGTCTGAGTCAGGTCGAGGGCCACACAGGTAGCGGGGGAGCAGCCGCCCGCCGCCCAACCCGCCTCTCCCGCGTCCCCCTCCCCCTCCCGCTGGAGTCCGGCCCCGGGCTCCGCTCCGAAGGAAGCGTCGGGGACGTCCCACCCCCGCAGGGAACTGCGCCCGCTGCCCCCGCCCGGCCCCGCACCGCCCGCCCTGGCTCTCCACCCTCCCCTCACCCCCCCAGACGGTCGGCTTCGGCGGATAGAAACCGGAGCAGCAATGCCTTTTCCCCCCCTCTCCTCCACTTTTTTTTGTTGTTGTTGTTGCTTTCCCACGCTGGCTGAATGTGACTTGACCCCATTTCAAAAAAGTTTGACATAGTGCTTCAACATTTCCGCATTCCTCCGCGACTACAAAGGCTGCAGCCGCCTCCTTCTGCTTTCTGTCTCTGCTCTCTGTCTTCACACTCAATGAAATCCTTCATGTGCCTCTCCCGAAGCTTGCCAAGCACCACAAGGGTCGCCACCAGCGCAGCGACAGGAGGCCACACCGGGGACCGCGACTCCCGCGTGTGCGCACACGCAGATGCGCCCATGTGCAAACAGGCGCGCTGCGGGGCCCAGAACTGTTCACCGCGGGGCGTGCGTTTTAACTCCGATATTTTAAATTATAAAAGTAAACTTGCAAACTAAAGCAAACGTGCGTCCTCGCGGGGCTCCCAGCCAGGGCACTGGCAGGCTGCGTACACTCTTCTGTGCATAACACGCCCGCAGGAAGCCTGCGTTAACATTTATCTCATGGTGGGGAAGGTGGAGCCCACACCCACACCTCAGTGAGCTGGAGAGGGAGCTTTCGCGGGGAAATAAAAATGGGGCACGGAAACACATTCTCCAGCATGGAGTCTCCACAGGCAATGCATTTTAAACCCTAAATGTGAATTATTATGTGAGTGTCCGAGTGGAATTCAAGTTCCATTTGGAGAAAGTGGATGAAGAGTGTATGTGTGGGTGTTTGTGCGCACGGATATGTGGGAACAGCATTCGGTGTCGGGAGTGTCCCTCGCGTGCGATGTCCCCCTCTCGTCAGATTAGGAAAGACTCCTCTAGTTCCCCAAAACTGGCCCCCGTAACCTACCCCGTCTCAGTTCGTAAGGGGTTAACCAAAGCCGATTCGGAGGACACACACTCCCCCCGCCCCCACCCAGCCACCCACATTTTTGCCTCGGACCCTAGCCAATCCCCCTGATCTCCCCCGGGACCCCCCACCCAGCAGCCCACCCACTCGAGCCCACAGTTCCTCACCTGCGGGGCCGGGTCGCGTCGGGCCTCCTGCGGGGGCTGTGAGTGTCAGTTCGACCTCCGCACGTGTCCACGGCCTCGCCGAGCAGGTAACCAGACTCTGGGGAAGGAGTTACCAGCACTCTCTCCGGCGAGGGGGTGGGCACAGCCGCGGAGGGCGGAGGGACTGCGAGGGCGCCGCCCGCGCAGCTCGCTGGGGGCGGACGGGGGCGGCAGGGCTCCGGCCGGCGCTGGGGGCCCGAGCCGGGGAGGCAGCGGGGGCGACCGCGCGGCGGGGGCGGGGACCGGCGCGGCCAACTCTGCCTGAGACCCACCCCGCGGCGGGGCCAGGGGCTCGCGGCGCAGTGGCAAGCAAGTGTGCAAATTAAAGTCTTCCGGAGAGAGGAGAGGCAGCCGAGCCCCGGCTGTGTTCTGAGCTTCCCAGCTCCCCAGCTCTCCGCTGCGAGTGGGGGGCGAGAAGGGGGAGAGTTAAATGAAAATTTCCGGCTTTCACTGCAACCGGAGTGAGGGGGATCCCGCGACTAAAATACGCGGCGTGAGAGGCAGAGAGTGGGACGTGTCGTCGGGAGTCGGCGGAGTTTCCAAACCCAGGGTCGCCCAGAGTTGGGGTTTTGACAGGGCGAGGCGGGGGTACCAGCAGTCTGTGACGTGGACGGATGGGAAAAACAGAAAACAATCAACAATAATTATGAGGAGCCGGTGGGGTGGTAAATACCACCACTTTCCAAGAAACTGAAAAATCAGACCAAAAAATAACTCTTCTCTATTAAAAAAAAAAATTGGCAGGATGCCTTGCAGAAAAGAAAATACTAATCTGTCCAAGCACTTTTCACTTTCAGCATGAGCTACATTTGTTTTGTTTTCCTTCGCTTCCTTTCGGCCTTACAAAGAAAGCCCTATCTTTTCCTTTTGGACAGAGGATATGGTTTGGAAATTGTCAGGCACTCTTGTGGTTAAAGATCTTCTTGAAGGGGCTGGCGAGTTCACAATTATTAAGTGGTTAGTAACTGCTGAGGGTTCACTAAGGTATTTCTGAGGAGCTAAAAAAACTAAAATTTGGTGTAAATAACAGAACTGCAAGGTAATAGACACAGACACGCAAAGAGGAGTGCTCAGTTTAAATACATTATTGGAATTCTGAAATTTGAAACCTTGTAAGAATGTATACTTTACCTGCTGAGAAAAACCTGAATAAAATTATTTCAGGTGAAAATGGGATTTGGGAGGAAAAAAAAATCTTCAAGACTGTCTACAGTGGAGTAAAAGAAAACTTAAAATAGCTACTTTTTGGAAAGAATTCAGTGGTCTCCAAAATCTATATCTGTAGAATACTTGAAACCCTTTAAAACATCTTAAAGCAAAACTTTTTTAAAAAGTATTTATTTCAGTGCTTTGTGGAAAAGTTAAAACTCGGCAAAATTCTGTTTGAATTGGAAATACTACTTCTATAAATCTTTTGACTTTCTGAAATAAACCAATTCAAAAAATTAAACAAATTTCACAGTAGATCAAATTTTTGCCTTTACAAAATTGATTCTATATTATAGTGTGAAGTAAAGTTAGGGAAATAAAAATTGATGCATATCCACTAGCAAATATTTTGCACTGCATTATAATAATTTTTTCTTAAGAATAAAAGTGACTAATTATATGTCTTTAAGCTTAAGATAATTCATAAAATATATTTTGTGTTAAGAGCATATCTTCTAAAATAAAATCCAATTTCTGAACAAAATTTGTATTTGTAAAGTTATCTATAATCTCATATACCTTATAAATTTAAGAAAGAAAATTATTGGAAATTAGAAAATTATTTTGTATTTATATAAAATATTGTATCACTATAAATCACAACTGGACTTTAAACCAGAGATACAAATGGGAATCCTCCATTTTGGTAACTGCTGACACTTATCATTGCTTTTTAAAATGAGATTTACTTGCTGGTAATTAACATGTTTGTATAATCCAGAAATAATTGCCAATAAATAGGAACCAGCACATGGTAGGAAGAATTTGAGTAAATAATTTGTTTAAAAAATAGTAAGCTGTAAATGTCTTTAAAATTAACAGAAAAGTGTCTTTTCTATACTGGATTTTATTTTTAATTACTGAATTTGACAGCAACCTTTGCTAGATTAGAAATTCCATGATATAATTTACTAGATCATTTGGGTAATGTAAAAAACAATGAATCTTTATTTAATTATGTATGTGAAGAGTAAGTGTTAACTCTCTTTCCATCCTTTTCTTTTTTTGATATTGCTTATATTTTATGTTAATTTATCATTGTTCACTCTCCCTGGGTATAGTTCACATTAAATCCCAGTTGGTTAAAGTTTAGACACAAGGAAGTTTTACAATGGATTATATAAAATTAGTAAATACCAGATTGTTTTTGTTTATGGATAACTTCCTCTGTGAGTAACAGGTTATCATAACAAAATTTGTTTAAAGTTTATAAACTGTGAACCAAATTCTGCCTCCTTTGTTTAGGGTCTTCTATGAATGAATATATAGCATTCTCAAGAATAATGACTCCAACCAATATTTTCATGCTACATATCAGATATTCTAAAGTAACAAATCATCTTATAGGTTTTTTTTATAAATTAGAATTCATGAATTTACCTCCAAATACAGTGATGTAGTTTACACTGGAAGATTTATGAGTGTCACATAAAGGATATGTTTTATGTATGAACATTTTTATATCAAATACTTGTAAATTTTTGTTTTCATTTAAATAAAAATAAAATATAAAATTCTGGTTTATAATTTTTAACTTGTTAAAAAAATGAGTAATTTATTTAAAATAGTGATTATATAATGTACATCTAAATCTAGTTCATCTCTGATTTATATTGGCTATTTGAATTTATAAAATACATTTTTCAGAAACCCAGAAATGAGGTTTTGCTATAATCTACTACACAATTATTTTAAAATACATTTCTAGTTTATTAACTTTGAAACAAATTACCCTCCTTTTCAACCTGATTCCGTATGTGTATGTAAATGTTATCTTTGTTTAGAAATTACCATGAAAAACTATAGTTTTAACAAAAATAGTATAAGGCAGTGCATTTTAATGCACTCTTCTTCCCCTCCCCAGGCATTTTTAAGATACTGTCTTGGGTTTTCCCCTAAAATATAATATTGAAAGTTTGCTAAATATCCTAGGAAAGATCAATTGATTATCAACTTTTTCACTTGTAAAATTCTGAACTTTAAATGATTTTTAAAGTTGTCCTCAAATTACTAATCATCAGTTTGGAAATTACTTGGATTTTTTCCTTTTTTATTATGGCATGTAATCTAGTGCATTACATTTGAACAGCGAAACTTGAAAAGATTTTGATATTTTTCCATGAGGGGGAAAAATATATGTCAGGCAGCAGCTTATAAAATTTAAGGAGAAAACGCCAGACATTATTATCTTTTGGAACATTCTGTTTCCACAGGTTCTACTACTCTATAATTATCCTCGTCCAACGTGTCAGTACTGTGTTTGTATAATTGTCATCCTCTTTTCTAATTTTTTACCTTTTGATAGACACTCATATCTTCTTTTTCCTTTGTGTGTATGTGTGTGTGAATACCTTTATGCTCTTGGCATATTGTTATGACATGTTCTAAACATGTTCTTAAGATCCTCTCATCATCTATATTAGAATTCTGAGTAATCAGAAAACTAACTAAGGAAATGTACTTACAAAAGACAGCGATATACCTACATTTCCTTTCAATTTACAGTGACCTCTAATTTTCACTGGCTTCTAACATTTCTTTCCTGAGATAATACTTGCATCTCAACTGCACATATGGCCTGTCAATTGTGTTGCCATAGCTGCTTTTGGTTGAGCTAAAAGGTGTGTACCCATTTTAGACAGACCATTCAGATGGAGCAGTGAAGGTACAATACAGTGTGTGTGTCCAGGGTGATGATAAAATGTTATCTGGGAGGTAGGAGGAGAGACAAAGAAGGCACCCAGGGAGAAACTTCTGTGAATGGCCTGGCAGCAGGGGCGAGGGAAGGAAGCACATGCTGAGGTCGTGGGGCCAAGAGATGCTGCCTCAGTGCTCTAGGTATGGCGTATCCAGGCAACCTGATTCTTTCAGAGTGAATGGCCTTCTGTTTCTGTTTTATTATGCAATTAAATCTGTATTATTAAACGCGATTGTATAGTATATGAGTCCATATTCATGTGACACCACTATATATTGTCTCATTCTGGAATTTTCCTGAAAATAACATAGAATGGAATTCTTTGCAGAATTCTTTGAATGCCTAGAAGAAAATATGTAATAGCACAGTTCTGTGGATCACTTTACCATAAATTAAAGAAAGGATCTGATTGTTAAACCCTATTATAAATTCGTTCAAAGTTACTCATATCTTTGCATCCCCAGTACCTAGCATAGTAACTGGCAAGCATTTTATGTCCAGTAAATATTTGTCAACAAAAAAGTTGGCTTTGCATCCTTTAGTCCCTCTTTTTTGGGACTATTTGTTTCTATTTCCTTCAGGGAAGTGTATTAGAATAATTTTTTTATCCAACCAAAGCATTTTAATAAAGTTTAAGGATCAATGTGCTGGTTTCAGGACCTCAGAATTCTGTCTTCTCTACCTACAGCTCCTTTCCTTTTTAAGCTCTCTTCTCTAAGTCCTATTATCCTTCCAAGGCTCAGCTCCTCCACAAAAACCTTTGAAATCCCCTCAGCTGGAAGACATCCCTCTTTGCTCTAATTCCTTGAGGCCGTTTGCTTTCCACCTTACTTGCAGTGCGATGCTCTGCTGTCTAATACCCTGAGTTCCCCAGAGCATCCACCATGCTTTTTTCCCTTTGACAATTCTCCAACTCCTCCTGGTCCTAGTGGGTGGTCAATGAACGCAGGGATGGTTCTTGTCTGCTTCCACGTTGTCTGCTTCCAGGAGTATTATGGCATCAAGCAGGCACGGAACAGACTGGAACAGTGTGGCATAACTAGAATAACATTTGAAAGTTGAGGACCAGTGTTCCGTGTTGCTTAAACAGGAAAGAACCAGGTCATCCTGCTACTTTGGGTGAATTTGGTATGTTTTCT